TTGTGACACCTGCACCACCAACCTTATATCGCCTATACCGATAAGAGCCGAAATACCTTCCCGTGCTATCTTAGGGTTCGCAACTCACTTGCGTAAGACTCTAAACTGGGCTCACCCTATCACTTTTAAACTTTAATGCATTGGTTTAATTTCGTGTTTCTTTACTTCGTCAAATTCACATTTTGATGCATGTACGAGTTTTAGTATGCAAACCAAAGTGACATAAGGTTTATATAGCACAACATAATCATGTATGGAAACCAAAGTAAATATTATAGAATGTCGTAGGAGTCATCACAAAATTTCAATGAATTTCTCACACTTCTTCTTTTCAGCACTGTATGGTCACACTAAAAATAATGAAACCCATATCTGAAGTTCAATTATTACAATATTTTAAATGATGCTAGTTCATTGAGTTAGGAAAATATTTCACGGAGAATACCAGGGCTAAAAACGATTTTAAAATAAAATTTGGAAGAAAATTGGTTTCTGGGACAGTGAGTTATAGTAATTTCCAGCACAGGTGATCTGTGTTTGAAAAATAAAAAGGGGCATCAAATGGTGTCAAAAAGAGGCATGGTCAGAATAGATTGCTAGATATTTGAGTTTAGAACATATTTCCCGAAGAGTTTGAAGACTGAAAACCAATGGAAGATGGTCAAATAATTTTTCTAAGAAAATAGGACAGATTCTGTTGCATTTTAGTAAAACTACAATTTCTCCTTTTAGACTTATCCATTTTTTGTGAAATTGGCGGCACATGAAAGATAACTCTTATATCTAACTATCCGAAGTGTTCGTATAGAAAAATACCATTTGCAGAGGAAATGGGACCTGTTTGAAGTCATTGTTTCTGTTGTGTTGTGAACAACACTTAGGACAAATATTTACTTCGGTAAAAAAATGGGGTCCAATGATTTTATAAAAATTTACACGTGTATAGAACACCTATATATACTCCCAGTACAAACAGATTTTTGACACGAGTTATTTTCAATTTATTAAAGCATTCTACCTCTGATAAAATCTGAGACAGTGAAGAAAATATAAGTTTCCAGTAAAAGTGAACCAACCTCATCTCATATTACCCCAATGCAAGATTATTTCAAACAATGGAGAATATTTGAACACCTAAGAAGACAAAATCAGTAGCTAAACCATATAATCTATGCTTGCAAGAAGGAATAAAAATCACATAATCATGAAATTATTATTCAGGTAAATTATAATTTAACCCCCTGTGATTTGCTTAAAAAACACAGAGTCCCCCTATAATTTCATTTGTAACACTTAAACCCCTTATACCTCATATCAAAGTGCAATTTTGGACAAAATTGTTTGTTTAAATAGAACGTGTGTTACACAATCATGAATGGTGAGTGGAGCAGTTTTTCTAGCCCAAAAACATATGACAAATGACCAAAACACCCTTATTGCCACATATATACACAGAATGGTGTAGTGCAACAGAGTATGGATTACAATCTTGGACCATCATACAGGTTTTCTCTCCCTCATTATATAAATATGCAACACCATCACCTTCCATGCAAAATCACCACCATCACCTTTTATTTCTCCTCTCATTTACCACCATCACCTTCCATGCAAAATCATCACCAACCAACATCACCACCATCATATTCCATGCAAAACCACAACCAACTTCTTATTCCATGCAAAACCACCACTCAAAATCACCACCACAACTTCTCTCTCTAAAAATTATCGAAACCCATTTTTCTTCTTATAATTCAAATTAGTAACAAACCCAACCCATGAAATCAAACAATTAATATGTGTAAACATTTAGATTTTTGAAATAGAATTGATAGGATTCATACCAACCAAACCCATTTTTTTTCTCATTTTCGACAATTCTTTGGCCCATCTTTTGGACTCCATAATTTTCTCTGTTCTTAATGATTTTATCCACCAATCTTCGCACCTTGCTTTGTACTTCATCCTACGCTACCTCGTTTTCACCAATCTCTTCTCGAGCACACAGATGCGGCTGTGCTTTTGGACAATGAAGCCATTTACAATATCTGCCGGAGATCCCTAGACATTGAAAGGCCAACTTATTCCAATTTGAACAGATTGATTTCTCAAATACTATCGTCTTTGACAACTTCTTTAAGGTTTGATGGGGCCATTAAAGTAGATGTTACAGAGTTCCAGACTAACCTTGTATGATATCCCCGTATACATTTCATGCTCTCTTCGTATGCCCTTGTAATTTCAGTTAGGAAAGCATACCATGAGCAGTTATCTATACCTGAGATCATAAATTCAGTGTTTGAGGCTGCAAGCATGATGGCGAAATGTGATCTGAGGCATGGGAAATATATGGCTTGCTGCTTGATGTATTGTGGAGATATTGTTCCAAAGGATGTTAATGTAGCCGTTGCCACCTTGTAATTTCAGTTGCGAAAGCATACCATGAGCAGTTATCTATACCTGAGATCATAAATTCAGTGTTTGAGGCTGCAAGCATGATGGCGAAATGTGATATGAGGCATGGGAAATATATGGCTTGCTGCTTGATGTATTGTGGAGTTATTGTTCCAAAGGATGTTAATGTAGCCGTTGCCACTATCAAGACCAAACGGACTGTTCAGTTTGTTGACTGGTGGTTTGTAATGGCATTAAGAAGAAAATTAGAGAAATAAATAAGGGTAATGAAAAATGGTTGGGAGCACTAAAATGGGAGCACTAGGGGAAGCACTAATGATGTGGCAGTGGCCTATGCCTTATTTTTTTTTTGGTATTCCCAATGCATTAGTGCTATTAGTGGTGTTTTTTTTAGTGGTATGAATCATTGTTGTAAGGGTAATTTAGACTTTTTATAATTTCTGTTACATCCGTCCAAAATTATACTTTGGTATGAAGTATATGGGGGTTTAAGTGTTAAAAATGAAACTATGGGGAGGCTCCGTGTTTTTTGAGTAAACCACAGGGGGTTAAGTTATAATTTACCCTTATTATTCTATCAAAATGTAAACATGCATTGAGCTATTCTTGCTATGTGTATATTAACAATGCACGCTCTTACATATTTTTAATATATAGATTTAGTATAAAAAAATATCTAAGGGAGGATAAAAGTTGAGTATTCCTACCTTAAGAGCTTTTACAAACTATTCTTAAGATTAGTTTTGAAGTGGTGACCACCAACCACCCTCTCCTCTTCCTCTTTTTTTTATTTTCTTTTCTCCTCTCTTTTTCTTTTTCCTCAGCCGTGTGTATAGAAATGAAAGGGTTGAGATAGTGTTCTACTTGTAGGAGTTTGGAGGCCTATTTTTATTTTATTTTAATTTTTTTTCCTCTTGGCTTGGGAAATATTACCTACTTGTATAGGCTTAGAGTATGTTTCTATGCTTGCCTTGGCATGCCTAGACAGCAGCCTCCTTGGGAAGAAAAGGCAGCAGAAATGCTCTGCCCAAAAATCTAAATTTTAATTTTTTTTGTGTGTACAAAAAATAAAAATCAATGTATATATAGAACCTAGTCACTAGATATTTTGCTTCCTACTATCCTCTAACTAACTTAGTTATTATTTGTTTAATTCATTTAGTTTCCACAACTGTATTTAGACATATAAATGTAATCACATAAAGATAAATAAATTTATTTAAAGGAGTTTAATATTGGTATTAATCATGATGACATTAACATTATAATTTAATAATTTAATAATCACTGTTAATTGAGTTAATATTGTTATTAACAAACTAATTCGTTGTTTGAAAATTCAGGTTCTTACAACCTATCCCCTTTAAATAATTTCGTTCTCGAAATTTTAACGCGTACCTTTATCTTCAAACAACTGAGGGTAGTTGGCTCGTATTGCATCCTTTACTTCCCAAGCAGACTCCTCCACTCCTCGATGCTGCTACAACACTTGCACCAAGTGGATGACTTTGCCTCTCAAGTTCTTTTTTCGTCGATCTATAATCTTTATAGGCCTTTGCTCAAAACTTGCATCTTCATTGAGATCAATATCTCCCTAGTTGATAACATGGGAAAGGCATGGCTCATACTTCCATAACATTGAGATGTGAAAAACATTGTGCACCGCTGCAAGCTGTGGTGGTAGTGCTAAACGATATGCCACCTCTCTTACCTTGCTCAGAATTTCAAAGGGTCCCACATAACGAGGTGCAAGTTTTCCTTTCTTCCCAAATCGTGTAGTACCTCGACGAGGTCGAACTTTGAGAAAAACATGATCCCCTACCTCAAACATTAAGGGTCGTCTCCTTTGATCCACATAGCTCTTTTGTCAACTTTGGCCTGTGATTAGTCGTTGTCTGATTAGTTTTATCTTCTCAGTGATCTCTTGAACCAAGTCTGGTTCTAACAAGGTTGCTTCCCCTACTTTAGTCCAATAAACTGGTGATCGATAAGGTCGCCCATAAAGTGCTTCATACGGTGCCATTCCAATACTGGCCTAGAAACTATTGTTGTAAGTGAACTCAACGAGAGGTAGTTGTTTCTCTCAACTTCCCTTAAGATCCATAACACAAGCTCAAAGCATATCCTCCAAGATTTGTATTGTCTTTTCAGACTACCTATCTATTTGTGGATGAAATGACGTGCTAAAGCATAGGTTTGTTCCCATTGCCTTCTGCAAGCTCTGCCAAAATTGAGAAGTGAATCAAGGATCACGATCTGACACTATGCTATCTGGTATTCTGTGTAATCTGATCACTTCTTTAATGAAAAATCTATTGAATAAATCTAACGTATCTGATGACCCGACAAGTAAGAATTGGGCTATTTTATAGTTAGTCGATCTACCACTACCCATACGCCGTCATGTCCCTGTGGTGATCAAGGCAAACCCGTCACGAAATCCATGGTTATGTGTTTCCATTTCCACTCAGGGATTGGTAAGGGTTGAAGTGTTCTTGTTGGTCTTTGGTGTTCAGCATTTACTTGTTGACATGTTAGGCACTGAGACACAAACTTTGCTATATCCCTTTTCATTCCACCCCCTAATATTGACGTTTTAAGTCTTGGTACATCTTAGTACCTCCTAGATGTACTACGAATACTGAATGGTGGAATTCCTTAAATACATTTTCCCTGAGTGAGTCGTCGCTTGGCATGGACATTCGACCTTGATATTTCAAACTCCCATTTGTGTGAATTTCCCAACCAGGCATGGTTTCACTAGACTCCATTCGTGCCTTGATGAATGCTACCTTCTGATCGTACTTTTGTGATTCTAATATCTCACTCAAAATTTTAGACATAGCAATTAAAGCACCAAGGTAAGCCTTTTCATCTTGAACCTCCATTTGTACCCCAAATTCATTGAGCGTTCCAACCATATTCCATTCTCCAAGTGCTAAACTAGAAACAATCCCTCTATTCTTGCAACTTAGCGCATCTGCCACCACGTTTGCCTTGCCAGGATGATAGGAAAGGGTAAATTGGTGATCCTCAAGATATTCCATCCAGTGTCTCTGACGCATGTTCAAATCCTTTTGGGTGAACAGATACTTCAAGCTTTTATGACCGGTGAATATCTCAAACTTTTCACCATACAGGTAGTGTCTCCAAATTTTGAGGGCGTGAACTATAGCTGCGAACTCCAAGTCAGGAGTGAGATAATTCTTCTCATGGTTCTTTAATTGCCTTGATCCATATGCCATCACCTTGCCATTTTGTATCAATATGTACCTTAGACCTTCTTTGGAAGCATCACAATACACATTGTACCCAACGTCTTGTTCTGGTACAATGAGAATAGGGGCACTCGTCAATCTTTTCTTGAGTTCTTGGAATGAATTTTAACAAGACTCATTCCATCCAAACTTAACTCCTTTTCAAGTCAAATGTGTCATTGCTTTGGCCAATTTTGAGAAGTCTTGAATGAATCTTCGATAATAACTAACCAATCTTAAGAAACTACGAATCTCGAATGTGTTCTTAGGTTTCTTCCATTCTATCATTGCTACTACTTTAGTTCGGTCCATTGATATTCCCCTTTCAGACACCACGTGACCCAAAAACTTTACTTCCTCCATCCAGAACTCATATTTACTAGCCTTAGAATATAGCTGGTTCTCCCTTAAGGTTAGAAATACTGTTCTCAAATGTTTTTCATGGTCTTCTTACACCAAAATATCATTAATAAAAACTACCAGAAATTGATCAAAGTAAGTGTAGACATCCTATTTTTGACCGTCCTCAAGACTTGGACGTCACCGTTTGAACACTCGGTGATCATCCTTGCTTGTGTTCGTCTTGAGTTCCCGGAGGTCTCGGCTACGCGCCTTGCCTCAGGATCTCTCAACTCGATTGTTTTGTGTCTGGTTTTGCACTAACCACTTGTGTTTTTGCTTTAAAGGGCAGGGAATGGCTTGTTGGCCATCCCCACACCTCATCGGCCATGGCTTGAGGCTACCGGCCATTGGTTTGTTGCTATCGGCCAAATGTTTGGCCGACCGGCACTCTTTGTGGTCGACCGGCCATATTTTTTGGTCAAATTACATTTTTGGCTGGCCGATCACTGTGCATCTGCTTTTGGCAGATATTTTGTGCCAGCTGTGATAGCTGGCACCCACTTTGCTCCCCTCCATACACGTTTATGAAGGGATCTCCCTCTTGACTAACTTACTTGAGAAGCTTTGCAAGAGTGAGCTCTATAAGAGGGAGCCTCTTCTCCCTCCATTAGGGTTACAAAAAAAATATAGAGAGAGCTCTAAGTTAGGGTTAGTTCATAGTTGTAGCTATTCTATCTCTATATCTCTCTCTTTAGTGCATAGGTGTGTGTTTTAGTCTTACTATTGCACACAAACACCTAGTGTTACACCTTACCTTGGCTATTGAGGTGCTAAGGAGTCATTTTCAGAGTTTTGGAGCTGGTTTGAACCTAAGGAGGCTGCTGGTCATCCATTTTTGAAGAGGGTCTACAAAGGTAACAACTTTCCCCCTTTATTCCCCTTTTTTGCGTAGACTTTTTACCAATCTTGCACCTGTTTTTAGGCTTTGTGTATAACATATAAAAGTCTTGTTTTTACCTGCCTAAAATAATTGTTTAAGGTTGCTTTGAGCTTTGGGGTTGTTTGACCCCTCTTAGGGCTTGTTTGGCCCCCATTTTGTGCCATTTTGGTGAGCTCCGGGACCACCTTGTTTGGGCCTCCTCACCACTGAAATCTTGAGGGATTTCAGTGGTTAGGATGGTGGTTTAAGGTCCTAAGAAGGAAAGGTCCACCCCCTCTCCTTGTTGTCCTTGAAAAGGGCCATTTTAGCCTCATGTGTGAGCACCATTTTTAAGTGCATTTTGGCCATGTCTTAGTTGTTATTTGTGCTTATTTTGTCATAATATAGCACTGTTTTTACTTGGTTTAGACACACCGTGCTTGCCTTGCATACATGTCTTGTAATGCCATGATTTGCCTTAACATGTGCCTAGCATTTAGCCAATTATGCTTACTTGTTTTGGCCTAGCTTTGTGAAGATTTTGTGCTTGTTTTAGCATGCTTAAGTTCTATTTTTTGTTGTTTTGGTCGACCATGACATGCTTAGTATAGCCATCTTGCATTTTGGCTTGTTAGCCTTGGGTGTGTGAGTGTGGAGCATGCTTTACTTGCTTTGTTTCAGTGATTTGGAACCATTTGCCATGTCATTTCAGTCCTCATGGTATGCTTGAATACTTACATTTGATGCTCCTTTAATGTGTCAAGAGGTTGGGGTTTCATGCTTCATGTTTGTGCTATTGTGTATGCCTCTAGGATAGGTCATTTAGATGCCATCTAAGTGGTTCTTAGGGCTTACTTTTTCATGATTTAGGACTGTTTTGGTTCATTTTGGTCATTTGCTTCATGTGTCATATGATCATGTTTTAGGTCCTTGGGCTTGGTTGCATGCCTAGCTTGCATTGGTAGGTTGATTTGGCATCATTTCCTACATGTTCTCAAAGCTTATTATGTATGCCACATGTCCATGATTATTCCCTTTTAAGTGTGCTTAAAAGATGCTTCTTGATGCTTAAGTGTTTAGGCCTTAACATGTGCATGCTTGTGTGTGTTTTGCCTCTCATTTCCATAGCATTTGGCCACTATTTTTGGCCTAATAGAGAGCTGTCCAAATTAGTGTAAGTCCCTCCTTTGCATGTTGTGGCATGCTCACCTTGTGTGTTGATTGCATACTTGACTTACTTTGTATTGTTGTTGCATGTTTAAGTGACACTTGCGTTTGGCACGCATTTCCTTGACTAGGTTGAATAACATGTTGCATGCCTTGCACACTTGCATGATTAGGTTACATCTTGCATGTTGATCATTAGCATAGTTATTACATGCTTACATGCTTGCTAGCTTAGGTTGTGTGCCTAGCATACTCGTCTTCATGTTCATATTGCATGCCTAGTTCGCATGCCTAGGTTGCATTGCATTGGCATGCATGCCTTGCCTCTTAATCAAGTGATAGAGTTTGGGCCATTTGTTTGTTTAAGTGCATTTCATTCGACATTGAAATGACACACTTGGTTTCTTGGGCCATTACGCATTGAAATGTGCGATTGATGGTCCGAGAATCGAGGACCATCCTCCTTTGAGTCATAAACATGATAAGGAGTGTGGTTGGTGCAAACATTGCTTGAAATACATTGCCATGCCATGTTCTGCCCTCTGCTGTTGTCAAAATAGGTTTTTGCAGGAAGCTTTGGCCAGCCGGCCATCTATACTGCCGACCGACCAATTACTGATGGCCGAGAGCTCAACAAATGGTCGATGACCATCCGGACATGGTCGGTGGGGTTTCCACTTGGTCGGTGGTGATCCACAGTGTCCATGGAGCATACCTTGGGAGTTATGCAATTTTCAGAGGAGCAAAGCAGGGGAAATAAAGGCAAACTTGTACATGGTGGTGGGTTTCCGAGCGGAACTGAGCGCGCATACATTGGGCCCTCTTCTCGAGGCTGCTTTTACTGCTTAATTAGCTTAGTTAATTTGCTTAACTAGTTAATTGTCTGTAATATTTAATTAGCTTGATAGTTAGTCTCTGAGGAGGGCAATGTTATAATAAGTGTGCGTGTGTGTGATGTATGTCTTCCAACCCCACGTCTTTCCCCATTTTATTTATCAGCTTATGATGGTTAGTTATAGGGCATGTTTCAATTAGTATCCTTATGCTTCGCATGTTTGCATTCATTCATCTGTCTTGCATGCACTTGGCTCGGCGCATCATACTAACTGCATCGTATTTCAAATCAAACTTGAATACATGTTATCTGTCGCATCTCACATGCCATTCATAGATTAGTCGAGCCTATTCTAGTAACATTTTGTATGAGATACATTAGCCACCTTAACATGAATTAGGATCATACATATGATTACTAACTAGTTCACTGTTTTGGCACGGAGTACGATGTAAGTATTTATGCTTTAGCGTCTCGCATGAGTGTGAATGTTAACATGATAGCATGCTTACTATGTGGCTATATGCTTATGTGATATAACTGCATGAATGCCTGTGGGTGTAGGTTGGATTGTTTGAATTGGGATAATTCATCGAAATCCGTATTTTAGTCTGCTCACGAGTAGCAAAATTCAAACCATTTTCCAAACAAATAGAAATGCGATGCTTTGTTCTGACTTAGGCAATTTAGTCTATACTTATTTTGCCGTACGCATCACATAGTAATTCTAGGCTAATAACCGGTATAAAAACGCATAATGTTTTCAAAACAAGATATCATGGTTAGTATAGGCCAATCTTCGGATCGGGCGAGAGGGGGTGCTCATAGCTGACCTTCCCCAATCGTACCCAAGTTCCCGAGCCGAGGCAACCTTGGTGATGACGGACACGTGGCCTTAGGCAAACGAGTCAGGGTTTCCTAAATTACCCCATAAAAAATATTTTGGTGGCGACTCTTTGGTTCAGATTAAGAACCATGACGATTTGAGTCCGAACTGCAGTGAGCCCAAAATGAACAAAACGGGATTCATCCTCCCGGGGCGTTTGGGGATGTCTACAGTTTTTGGCGACTCTGCTGGGGAATTAGAGAACTTGACTCAAACTCATGATATCTTGTTTTGACTACACTCATGTGTTTCTTTGCATTGCATGTGCATTGGTGCGCCTAGGACACCGTGTTTGCTGTCTACTATTCCTGAGCGATTAGCCTGCGGCTGCGTGCCATAAGGTTGACTGGTTACGGGCTCTACCAGTATGGGAGCACAAACCCCGATTTTACTGGGGCACCCTGTTGACCATTTGACCTAGTGCTTATTCGGAATCCGTAATGACCATTCCAAACTAGGATAGGTTGCTTACCCGGTGTTAAGTTGTTTGAAACCGCTGCGTGCATAGTGAAACCCTAGCTCCTGACAAAATAGGACAGGAAAACCCTACCCCAACATAGGGGTGTTTTGGCTCTCTTTTACTTGTTATGTGCTTTTAGAGTGTATCTCTACAGGAACACACATATCAGTTTGCAAGTTTAAGTACCAGGCCTGAGGGCATCAGTATCAGTATTTTACGAAATCAATTATATCTGCGGGTATTAGACTCAGTTTTGGGGCAGTGATTTTGGAGAACAGTGATTAGTAGTAGAGTACAGTTTTTCAGCTATGCCTGTGTCTGTTCCGTCTGGGCTGAAATGCTGCTTGCTTTCCCTTTCAGTTCAGAGATTTGGGTTCAG